TATGCATATCGAGTCTATAGTGTGACTGGTCCGCCCGCACCGGGCCTTCAGTCCACCTGGTCCACTCTCCGAGTCTAGCCATGTATATCGAGTCTACAGTGTAATTGGTCCGCCCACACCGGGCCTTCAACCCACATGGTTCACTCTCTGAGTCTACAGTATGACTGGTCCGCCCGCACCGAGCCTTCAGTCGGCCTGGTCCACTCTCCGAGCCTCGGCACGTCTGGACCGCCCTCTTGGGGCCTTCAGCCTATCCGGACCTCCCGTTGGGCCTTCGGTCTATCTGGTCCGCCCTGGGCATGTTGGCCTACAACACAAAGCAGGACTCGCCTCAACCCAACCCCAGCCAAACAACCATGTGCACATAAAACAGTTAATCACATAAAAATCCTCAACCAACCAAACGAATCTATCAAATCATGCAGCATAGCACCATCCTAACCAGGATACCGACCTAACCGGTCACTAACATAACATTACCCTACATACCAAGATACCGACCTTAACCAGGTCACTAACATAACACCATCCTAAAACCAAGATGCAGATCTAGCAACTCAAAAACATATCAAACAAATACCCGAATTCCCATCCGATAAAGGGCCAGCCTTGGTGCCTTAGACCCTGTTGATATAGTGAGGATAACTCACCTTGCAACTGCCGAATCGAATCACGAAAGCACCAACCCGAAGCACTGCCTCTAACTTCAACACCTATAATCATCAATGATCCAAAGACATAAATATCCGAAAATTACCATAATACCCCTGAAGGTCAAACTGGTCAAAGTCCACCTTCCTGATTGACCCTACTCGCCGAGTCAACCCATTGACTCGCCGGGTTCCCAAACTCAGGAAACTCTCATAACACGACTCAAATCGCCGAGTCACCCAATGACTCGTCGAGTTCAACAATCTCCGAGTCCTAACCTGTCCAACTCACTGAGTCACCACTCAACTCACTGCTCTGAGTCTCACCAGAACAGGTTGAGGGGTTTTGCGTCGTGACTCGCCGAGTCCAAGAACCGACTCGCCGAGTCCACGACAATCTTCATCAGACTCTCCGAGTTGTTCTTCCACTCGTCGAGTCCAAGCTCATTATCATATGACTCGCCGAGTTCACCCATGCGACTCGCCGAGTCACTACGCGACTCCATGTCTGAAGCCCTAGCCCAACTCGCCGAGTCATCTCCCAAACTCGCCGAGTTGATACGGGTATTCCCATAATCGACAGATACAGATCTACTCCTTTGCTCCAAACAATAGATCTGGGTCCCTAGAGTGCATTAGCAACATAAAGTTGCTACCTTTACGTGCTTCATGTCCCATAATTCCAAAAACCAAGCTAGAAAGGAACTTAACTCATGGGGAAAGGCTTTTGCATAGCAATTAGAAGGGCTTTCTGCATATTTGATCCAAATAGAACTCAAATCTGGAGTTTCAGCTCCAGATCTAACTCATGCACCAAGATCTCATCATATTATCTCCAAACAAACCCTAAATCTCCATGAAAGATGGATCTAGAAAGGAGAAGGCCAAGGATAACGATTCATTACCTCCAAAACGACCTCCCACTGAAGAATAAACCGAATCTCCATAAATCTCCTTGATCCAAGCTCCTTGATCTTCAAGATCTCTTCACAAAATCACTTGTCTAAGCTCCAAATTGCTTTCAAGGACTCTCACTCATGATTTTAGGGTTTCTGGATCTCAAAGGGTAGTAAGGGGGCTGATGGGAGGACATTAAGTCCTTTAAATAGGGTGCAAACCCTAAGATTAGGGTTTCCCTCTTCCAGCACTGACTCGTCGAGTCCAGCCGCCGACTCGGCGAGTCAGGCCACTTATCACGTGCTCTTCACACGCTCCGACTCGACGAGTCATAGCTCTAACTCGCCGAGTCCATCCTTCTAATAACACTTTACACCCCTGAACTCTTGCTTCTTAACTTGGGCTGTTACAATTCTCCCCCACTTAAATTAGGCTTCGTCCTCGAAGCCTGTTGCAGCACAATTCCGGATGATACCCCCACAATGCATCCACTGATCTAACACCGGCCCAGATTCCTTCAAACACTACTATCGAATCCCTATAAAATCCATCTCTTCCCCTGCAGGGTCCTAACAACTGCCTCAAGCCGGCCACCGGCTTCTTTTCTCTGATGACAACACCCATCAACTAAGTGTCACCTGATGATACTACCATACTTCCGTCTTACGCATTCATTCGCCGCCTGCGAAAACTGGATACCATTATAAACCACCGGGTCCTGACCCAGTAATAACCCGCTATCCTTTGCCCAACTGGCGCTCCTTCTATCAAATTGCACTGATGGAAACTCATCCTGTTTCCTCCCTGAATCAAATCCCTTACTGCGCTGATATGATAATACCTCCTACAGCTTCCGTGCAACTCCCATGAACACCCATCTATAACGCATAAACACATCGTACTTGGTCCAACATCCTTGGGCTGGAAAACCAGGCACGCCTACGATGGGTCCAGACATCCCTAGGATGGGACATCACCACATACATAACTCATGGCCACAACCATACTTGGATCCCAAGGATCTACCCTTGCATCACTTCCGAACTCCTCTGATTTGACATCAACGCTAATCATTTCACAACCTCAACAGACACCCAACCCGGGTGTGCTTCCATACAACTGGTACAATCTCAGTGCTCACTACCAATAACTGAAATACTTTCGATCATCCATTTACACTACTGCTTTCCTTCAGATGACCAACACTCCTTCCCGGAGCCACATACCCTTCCCTTCCATTTTTCAAGGAAGTCTACTCAACGACCTTTACCACATCAACAAGTGTCATGGTGCTAAAACTCCACTTTACACCACCCATGCAGAGCAACTGCTACCCCCTAACTCCCATATACTCCGAATCTGATCACACAGCTAACGAAACCCATACGCGGCCTTTAGCTAACTCCATCATCATGATCAATACTTAGGGCCAGACCTTATCGATTCCTATTTCACGGCGACATGCTCACTCATTCTCCGCATACAGGTCTACTAACACATACAGAGTCTTCAGCATGACTGGACCGCCTTACCAGGCCTTCAACCTATCTGGACCACTCTCAGAACCTTCAGCATGTCTGGACCGCCCTTCTGGGCCTTCAACCTGTCTGGACCGTTCTTCGAGCCTTTGGCCTGACAGGTACGCCCACCGGCCTTCAGTCTATCCGGACCGCTCAAAATTATCGTACATCACCCTGAACCATTCCTCCCGGGAATCTCTCCCACGCAGTCTGTTCTATCCCTCTAAGGGTTCCGAACTCCAGATCCGTTCTATGAATTTCTACCCCGGCCTAATCTCAGGCCTCACGTCGATCAACTACCTTACCTGAAACCATGGTTTGTTCCCTGCCCCATATGTCTATCACCTGCTCTAACCATACCACACTCTCGGCTAATGACACTGCTGAATCCAAACAGCTAACCCACCTTGGATGCTTGCTGTTTCATCTGAGAATTTTCCAATTCTCCCCACTTAGTGCACCAACTACTAACTATCGATGACAAAACGGGCATGGCTCGATCGAACCTACTTGATATAGTCCCCCATTCTCCATGAACTGGTTCCTTCCGGAGTGAGCAACCTCCACAGAACAACTCTCCCGTCATCGCACATCCCGAACTCTAAGGAAGTTCGAATCTCAACTGAACACTTCTCACATCGCAGCTGCTATTCCTAGCAGCGAGATCATATATCTTATCTTTCTATCATCAATCTTCCTGGACACTAACCGACTATCACTCCTAACTACTAAGATCCTCAATCATACTACGAATCATGCGGGGAAAGGCGGACAGGTTTACAATATCACACAAATAACAAGATAACAAGATGGAAACATACCCGCAGCTGCACCTGGCTCCGCCCTGGCCTCCTCTGCTATAAGCTGGAAAACGCGTCCCTGAGCCCTCGGAGGCTCCGCTCCACCCTGACCCCCGCCCGTAATCCTCAAATTGGCCGGTGCTGGAGCCTGCACCGGTCTTGCAACAAGCTGTGGACAGTTGACCCTCAAGTGTCAAACCTGATAGCAGTGATAACAAATCCTCATATCCTGAACCGGGGCCGACTGACGGCAATCCCTCGCATAATGCCCCTCTCTCCCGCACTTACGACACACACCACCGGATCTGCAAACTCCGGCATGACCCTTCCCACACTTCTCACAAGTGTGGCTGCTCTGACCTCCAATCCTAGAGGCAACGGTTTTGGACCGTTTCGGCGCTGGCTGTGACTGTACCGGGGCCTGCCTCTGCTCTCGTAACTGCAACTCAATCTCCAACTCACGCCGCCTGGCGGCCTCCTGCAACTCCAACAAGGTATCATATCTCTATGTGGACACAAACCAAGTGCTAACTTGCTTAATTATGGTCTATTCCTATACACATTAATGGAACCACTTTTTTAGCCGAAATGAATGACTTGTAGCCAGTTGATTATAAATGCAACAAATCAAAAAGGTACACAAGTTATACAACTATTTCAACGAATTACACGACTTATACACTATTTATTAAAAACGAGCATTGTACAACTATTTCAACGTGCATATCCCTTCGCTTTTTCCATGACAAATTCTTATCATGCGTTTTTCTTTTTCCGAATGCACAAAAGGACCACATACTCTCAATTATTTGGCCACTAAAGTATATACATTATACACACATTATGGGTGGCCCCCACGATATGAGAAACATCAAACTTGGTTGAGCTACAAAATTTTTAAAGAAAGGTCCCTCGCATACTGTAATATTATTTTTGTTCTGCAAGTTTGATGTGGTAAACTTGATATCTTTAGTCTAAAAAAAAACGTTTTCTTGACTTTATATTAGATAGAAATCATAACTAAAATGTTAAGAAGCAAGATCACAACAAAGGAGAAAAGAAACACATGAACTTTCAATGGAAGAATAATGAATTTGGTTAATAATATGATTACACTTTATAGTTTGTAAACTCTATATTACACTAGAAATACCACTTGCATGCCCTTTTGATGGGGGTATAACAGTTTGTAGATTTTTTATCATCTTATTGAGTTTTTTTAATTTATCTTCATTACCCATCTCTAAATGTCTCTCTAAAACACGAAAACAAGTCTTGCTTAAATGTCTCCCTCTTTCAAGAATCTGTAAAGAGCAGTCAAAAGCTTCTTCTACTCTTCCATGAGAATACAGGCTTCTCACAAGAACATCAACAACATGACTATGTGGACAATAGCCTTTATCAATTAAGTACCTCCAAAAACCCATGGCATCATCAACTTCATGATTTTTGCAGAAAAGTTTCATTAACATTACAACCGTTTCTGATTTGGGGACAAAGTTTCTACTGATCATCTTGTGATAAAGCTCTAGAACACCATCGATTCCAGTTGACTTCATCAATCCTGAGAACATTGTATGAAATGTAATGTTGTCATGAAGAAGATTATTAGCTTCCATTTCATCCATCAATTTAGTTGCAGAGTCGATGTCACGTGATCTGATGAAAGCATTCATTAAGGCGTTGTAGACACCAGAATCTGGGAGTAGGTTTCTCTTAGGTATTTCATCGAACAGTTGTTGTGCATAGGTTGTGTTGTGAGCAATTCCTGCTCCATGGATCAAAGTGGTTAGTGTCTTTAACGTGGGCAAGCAGTTTGCTTGTTCCATTTCTTCAACAAGTTTTAACCCATCTAGAAAACGACCTCTTTTGCAGTAAGAATCAATTCTGATGTTGTAAGTTACAATGTTGGGCTTGAAACCTCTTCGAATCATCTCATGGTAGAAAAGCTCTACAGAAGTGACATCACCAGATTCTTTAAATCCAAGAAGCAAAATATTCATTGTTTTGGTTGTGGGGGAGAATCGGGAATATAGCTTGTTGAATACTGACTTCGCTTCCTTCATTTGCCTCTGTGTGCAGAATGCTCGAAGGAGAAGATTGCATTCATCTGTACCAAATTGCTTGTGATCAGAAAATTTATCCTCCAATTTCTGAAACGCTTCAAGGGTTTCTTCAAAAGATTGAAACTTTGCGATTCTTGATAACATGATGCTCATGGATTTGAGGGTAAGCAAGGAAGGGTGTGTTTTATGAATTTCTTCTATCAACTCCCACGCCTTGTTGAAATTCCGCATTCGAGTTAATATATGAAGTGTTTTTTCAAATGCATCTGAAGTGGGACAGAATTGGGAAAACTGGAGGGAGAATTTGAAGAATTCAAAGGCTTTAAGGCCATTAGAGTGGGATGCAAAGAGATGGCCAAGAACATTTTCTACAAAGGAAGTTGAAATGGTGGTTGAAGGGATAATTTGGGAAAGTTTTGGATGAATGGGTTGATCGGGAAAAGGATGGTCGTTGATGATTTTAGTAATTTTCTTGATTTCAAACTCCAAATCTGAAGAATAGAACCGGAAACCAATGGTGGCTGCTACTGTTAGCTGTTGAAGAAGTGGAACTTGAAGAAGTTGATTGCATTTTCCTAGGAAGAGCATAATCTTAAACAAATCAAGAAACAGTATCAGCTACTGGACAACAGAAATCCAAATGATATAGCCTCAAAAGATTTGGAGTATGAAACCCAAACAGCAACAAACTTTATCGCAAAGAAGATGATTGCTGAGTAAGTTTTCATGGAAAAATAACAAACACCTGGCGTGCATGTTATCTATGTTCCGAAACAAGGGATAAAGAAACATAAGGAAATATAACAAATAGTTGGTAATGGTTTGCTTTATAAAGTTCCAACATTTAAAAACAGAAGAAACCTCAGGTATATGGTAACTGGCATGTCGTCGTATTCTGTAGACATGGCCATGGGTTTTTATTTCTAATTTGAAGTAAGGTCACTCCCTTATACAGTTGGACCTCTATTTATCTATTACAAAACAGCCTAATCAAATGACGAAAACAATGAAATGAAAAGTAGGCCTGAGATAAAACAACAAACCCTAGTGAAGGAAGAATGCAAGCAAGAAACAAAACAACTAACAGAAGAAACCATTTACAGGGGAAAAAAAGGTATATGAAAAACAAAAACCGAAGGCAGACGTTACCTGAAAGGGTTTGCTGTTGTAATGATCGGTCGATGTATATGGATTGAAAATGAACGTCGTACTTTATTTTCAGCGGATATAGTTAGAGGTGGCAATGGGTCGACTGGGTTGGGTTCGCGTCCAACCCATTTAATAATTGGGTTGAAAATGTCAACCCAATCCAACCTATTTATTTAAATGAGTTGATATTTCTATCCAACCCAACCTTTTAGATAAATGGGTTGTCACCGGGTTGATCTGTTTTTGTAGTTCCCGACCCACCTATTAAATAAATGGGTTAAACTTGGGTTAACCCATTTAAAATCAATTAAATAAATTATATAAGTAAATATTATACCACTTAAATTATAAAACATAAATAAAACTTCATAATTATGTTAAAAGCACAATCGTAGTACATAAATACAAATAAATTGTTTAATAAATTGTTTAAACAACATTAAAAATATTTAGTTTCACAGTGAATTTGGAGAGTGACCAGTATTATCGGAACTAATTAAAAGATGAAAATCAGGATTGAATTTTATTAAACATAGATAATAATAATGCAACGTTATAATTTACAAATTAATACTTTGATTACTGCATGATAATATTCAAATAATATTATTAAATTAAAAATATTAAAGTTAAATGGGTTGACGGGTTGAAAACGAGTTGATAGTTTTTACCCAATCCAACCTATTTAATTAAATGGGTTAGACGGGTTGACTCATTTAAGTTAAATGGGTTGAAAATATTAACCCAACCCGTAAATTTTGGGTTGAGTTGGCGGGTTGGGTCAATTTTTGCCAGCTCTAAATATAGTAGTAACGGTTTACACAAAATAAAATAATATTAATACTTGAAAACCTTAATCATTAATCAAAGATTTGCAAACCGTTATTAATTTAGAAAGTTAGATGTTTTCATTTAGGTTAATATTGAGAAATCTGATTTTTTTTATATTAAACAAAACTGTGCTGAAGTTAAATTAATATATATGATTTTTTTTTTTGAGATTTACTTCGAGTTTTATTATTATGGTTAGAATTAGAATTTTTTAGATTCTTGGGTAATATTCGGAAATATTGTTTGAATATTTTGCATAAACATACAGTAACACACACACAACCAAACCAGAAAATTCAATCGCCTTTAACTGCATAATAACAGTTTAAAATCCAAAACTTAAATCCAAGAAATGACCTTTAATGTGGCCCTGGGATTATTAAATGGACTTATTAAAGAGTATTCTACTAATTATAGCAATATACTTATCGTTCGTTGTGTGAAGCTCTCTTTTGAAACTAAAAATGCTAAATTGATTCAAAGTACAATGCTTAAAATTAGTATTTGTTTTTAAAATACCTATGTTTTCTAAAATACCCTTTGAAAAAAAAAGAAAAAAAAGAACATAGCAGAGGCAAGACAAATGAAGGTTGTATTTGAAAAAGGATAATGTATTTATAGAGGTTTATTGGACTTTAAAAGTGGATATATAAATTTAAGGGTTAACATTATAGCAACCTCTAATCTTTAATACATGTAGGATCCAAAAATAATATGATTTACTAAATGTGCGTTGTTATTAATCGCACTTTACCATATATTAAATTATCATAAATTACAAATCTAAATTATGATACCGTTCTTGTAACTCTTTATGTTTGTATTGTATAAGATTTTCATAAATGCAAATATAAGGAAGAAAAACTACTTTTATTTATTGTCATAACATTTAGACATACACATCAACACACATGCACACACTCTTTATCTCTCATAGATAGACAACACAAACTCATAGTTTCTAAAAACCAAATAAAGCAAACTAACGGAAGTTATGTCCACTATAGCATTGTACGTAAAAAGTACATTGGTATAAAAAAAACAACATTACATGAAAATAACCCCTTGTAACAACCGGTTATTTTCAATCAATAAAAGTCAATGGAAATCAAACTTGTTAAATAAGAGTCAAATATTCAAACAAAAGTCAAATAACTAAAATTAATTGTTTGATCTAAACATGAAAATTTAAATTGCTTTATGGGTTTTCGATATTAGGAATCTTAGTCCAAACCAAAAACCGAAAACACCAAATTGTGAACCAATTTGGACCGAAATCACCCCAACCGAAAACCTTATGCAAGGACCCCACTTCAGACCGAGAACTCCTTGCGAGACCGAAATCAGGAGATTTCGGTGGGATGAAGACCGAAAACTCTCCCTTTTTCGGTTGGACATAGACCGAAATCAATGTTTTCGGTTGAATGGTGATAGCTTGATTATTTGTATATATTTTAGCAATCATTTTCTTTTACTTTTAGCATTTTTTATATTCTTTTTGCAATAGATCGTTAGATTTATTGTTTTGAATATTTTTACTCGTTTAAGCTAATTTTGTGTAGATTTGTTCGAGCAAGATGGTATTTGGAGCATTGTTAAAGCCACATTAAATGCCTTGCAACCACGATTGAAGTTTCGTAGAAAAATCCGGAAGCGAAAAGAAAAACCAAACGATATAAATTAAATTTTCGGATTTTGACAGTTTTGCGTGACTTTCTTCAAGTGATCAGACGGAGGGGAAAACATTGTCCGATTGAGCTGAAAATTTACAGACGTCTTCCCAACTCGTTGTTCTTCGATCTCACCGAAAATGAGTGGATTCCGACCCGTTTTGATATGGTTTTTAGCCTTGTGAACAGAAGCACAGTAGGCTGTCCAGCATCTTATTTAACAGCCCATTATCTTTATTGCAGCCCAAAATATAATTAAAAAGGCATCATCATATTTTATTTGGGCTTGAAAGAAAAGATACGCATGATCACAAATATGAGTCCACTTTGGTGATTTATTCAGCAGCCCATTACAATTTAATTGGCCCGTTTTTCTTATGTAGGGTAGGGCAAAAACGCAGCAAGTAAAAGGAAAGAAATGGTATCACATTTTCAATTCGCCGGCAGGAAAGAAAAAGAAGGGACGACGCAAGTGGAGAGTTCATACTCTCTTCTGTGTTAACTCCTCACTTTTTTTTTTTCTCATTCCTCATTTATTTTTCTTATTTTTGGAACATTGCATTTATGATTTCACAATCATAATTTGTTAATGAGTTATTTATCATTTTAATTAGATTAGGTTAGGTTGATTTTTGTATTAATACTTAGATTATGAATGAAGTTTTTTTGGAGCAACAAGAAGTGACGATTTCAAAGAGCTTTATCATCTTCATTTCGTAATCGGTATTGGTATATTTTTTATCCTTTTTATTGTTATTATTATTATTATGTGTTGTTAGTTTATATTTTTAATATTGGGTAAATCTATGGAGCAATTAATTGATTATGAATAGTTTTGTGTGGTTTTGATGGCATTCTATGAAAATATTTTCTAGTAAAACATTTATTTATGTTCATATGTCTTTAATCATGAGTTTAGATATGTGAATGTTTAATTAGTTGGTTAATTTCTTGATTACGTAATAGATCTTCAAATTAACAAGCAACAAATGGTTCTTGTGATTGTTTTTCTTTCACACAATCATGAAAATATTTTCTCCAACATGGTAGTGAAAACATTTTGACTCCTCTTGGATTTGGTGACTTTTAAATCTTAATGCTAGTTAATTTTCATTAATTACATGCTTCATGGAAATTATGACTTTAACTAAGAAAATGTGTTATGAGCTTCTCTAACCATTGTATTAACTAAGAAAAGTTTAGGTGATCTCAAGCTTCTTAGATTGTTATAGCCAAACTAGTATCCATTAATCCCATTGCACCACAAAATTATCATGATTAGTCAAATAGTTGCACTTGTGATTTAACCCAATATTGGAACGTTTTATTTTATAGATTTTGTATTTTTCCATTTTAGTTATTTTTGGTAAAATAGTTTTTATCGCATTTAACATTTTGAAAACCCCCCATATAATTTTATATTTTTATTTCGTAAAAACTGAATGCATAGATTTGATTCGAACCAATCTCTATGGATTCGATCCCTATTACCGCTACTACAATTCATTTTTGTATGTCGTCGTATTTAGGTTTTTTTTATTTGGTGGTCTCGACACCCACCAAATGGATAGGCCGAAAACTCCAATTTTAGGCGGTGGCACACATTCCAATTAGATAATTCCACCTCCCAATGCATGTCACATCATATATATATATATATATATATATATAATATATATATATATATATATATATATATATATATATATATATATTAAAACCGAAATCATATTCCATTTCACACATTCTCACCTACGAAAACTCTCTACTTTCTCTCAAAACTCAATAGAAGCCCTTCAAATCTTCAAAGCAGTTACCCAGATCATCTTCAAATCTTCAAGTTTCCTTAAGAACATCTTCAAGTTTTTTTTCCCAGGAAATCAAATATATCAAGTTAATTCCAAAGACTTCTTGTAAGTATTTATACATAACTAGTGT